ATACTAAACACACCAAATTGCAGCAAGCCTGTTGAATTACATGGTAATAAAAAATCATTCAAGTACACAAGTAATACAACCAATAAAAAGAAAATGATTGTTGTTCTATTTTGGAAAATCTATGTTTATTTATTTATTTAAATTAAACTATTAATATTGCAAGTGGCTCTGTGGAGTTAAGTCCTGCGATTCTCCCAGCCCTTACGGTAAAAATAGTAGTTAGATCACGACTAATGGCGTTATAATTTATTTTATTATTTAAACTACAGTAGACTACAGCCTGCTATTTTCACATTAATTTATCAGCTTATACTATTTAAATAAGTATACCACCTATACATTCCTAGTCATTCATTAGAATAAACATAACTCTTCCTGATTATTTCTGATGTTTCAACCTTAGTGGAAATTATACTAAAACGTAATAAAAATCCTTCGTTTAATATTAGAATCTGTAGGCCTCTACATAAAGGACAAAATGTCCGACACCAATTTTGTTCGTTTTACACGTCAAACTGTTTACTGTACATTAATCTAAAATTTGTGTTGGTAACAATTACAGAAACATCAAAACATTAAGTGAAGCATGAGATTGTTTGACCGAAGGGAGCAGCCGTTGAGCTAAGACCCTCCCGTCTCATGGGGCCTCGGTAACTACCGCTAGATGTCGGCATTGAAATCTCTCACAAATATTTCAGTTTTCCATTGCTCAAATTTCAAAATGAATCGGCGATTATTTTTTTATATTATTAGTATCATTATTGCTATTGTTAATGCTACTTATATAATTTCTTATTTTTGTAATTAATATCACTAATTATATTATGTTTGGTATTATACCATTATTTTATTATTCAATCAATTATCTTTTATTTCGGAAATTAAAAAAACATATTAAAAAACAAATATTAGATAAATAACATTATTATTATTTATTAAAAATAATAATAAACAAATAATATTATTATTATTAATTAGGCCTATTATTTATTATAATAATTATTGATAGGGTTATTATTTTGTAATCAGTGTCTAGTTATCTCGTTCCTGAAGATGACCCAATAAAGGTCAAAACGCCGAATAATGGCCTCCCTTTCTTTCAGAGTAACGTTCGTTCTATATTGTTAGGCCTATTATTAAAATTTTCATCATTATAATTCGTCACTGAGTTATATTATTATGGTAATTAGTATTATTATCATTATTCTAATTATTGTTAGTATTTACGTTATATTATTGTATTTACACTCTTCGATAAGAATTATCAATAATGATCAAATTTCATGTTATATTATTATAGTTGTTATTAGTATTTATTATCATTATTCTAATTATTATTAATATTAATAATTTTATTAGAGTATTTACATTATTTGATCAGAATTATCAATAGTGATTAAATTTTATATGTAGCAAATGATACAAAAGGTATGCAAAGGACATATAGTCTTTCAAGTCGCGGGTAAGTGCAGCCGGCGGGATCCCTTCCACTAATTTGTCAACTCCTATTTCCTTAATTGGCATCGGTAATGAAGAATTACGAACTTCAAGGATTGAGGAAAATGTGTATATCAAAGAGTAGTGAGTTTGTCCCTTCAAAAGTTACTCTCTATCAGACATCATGACTGTATGTAAACAGAATACTTTACATATAGGCATCATGTCATATCATAACATAATATTGTGTCGAAACTTTAAAGGAAAAACCTTAACCTAGTAAACGTTTAAAAGTTTGGATAAGTTTTCAAAATGTCGACAAGATTCTAGGCCTACAATCATAGCTATTTTACATATATCATTATTATATTATATATTGTATTATATTATATTAATTTTCTTCGCTACGTTATATGATGATTGTGGTTCACTATTTCAGGATTTAAACAGTATTAAAATTAATAGTTTTTGCTATGTTTCACATTCTAAATGATTGAATAAGTTCATTGCTAACATAATTACGAATGTAGTTAACAAGTTAACTCTTCTTCTTAATAATAATAATAATAATAATAATAATAATAATAATAATACTCAAACATTTATAAGGTGCCAATCCCAAATTGAATGATAAAATTACAGTCAAACGGATGTTCGGGTCTATTAAACTAAATACATGTCTTGCACCTGCACAAGTGAGCAGTATATGTGTGTACTTATACTGTACACCACAAGAACAGGATAACTCCATAAAATAAATGCTTCTATGGGATCTATTATACAATTCAGGAAGTACTCGGGAAGGTATTGTAAACTATTGGGAAAAGTGAATGATCATCTTTCCACCAATAACCGGATAATTTCCACAATTGATTCCATCCAGTCCGAATACAATTGGGAACTATTGATTATATAATACTTGCAATAAGCCTATACCATATTGTATAAAACAAGTTGGAACGCACGATAGTCATAACGTCTATGATACATACAGGTTTGTCTTAATTCCTGAATAGATGTAAGTTTATTCGAGTTACCGGAAATACAATTTAAACAGTTTTTTATATTATTTATTTTTTTATATTAACACACATTTATTTTTATTTCTACAAGATCCATATTAGTAGAACTTATGATATGTTAACATATGACTATGGTTATGAATAGGCCTTTACAATCAATGAAATGCTTAAACCGACCTCATGGAATATAGCTTTTTACATTTTGAAAACCGATCCAAACTTGTAAACGTTTACCGCGTTAAGGTTTTTCCTTTAAATTTTCTACACAATTAATACTGATGAATTTATATACTTTCGTACACTCAACTTGCGCAATATAACTGTCTTTGGCCATTTTACCGACAATTAGGCCTAGATCAAAGAGTTCCCTTTTTCTGTAATTTTGATTCATACGTTTTGCTGTTGTTAGTAAAAGTCTCTGAGGACGGCAATGAATTGTTTTCACCATACAAACTTCAACACAGAGTCAGTTAACACCCCTCTGTGGGGCAGTTTGTTACCCCTGATATGAAAACCGT